CACAATTTAATCATGCAGAGTAAATAGTAAAGACATCTTGGGAAAGGTACGTTGAATACTAGACTCAAGAATGGGGTTTGAAGGCTGTTGACTCCCCTTCATTCTCCAGCCACTCAAGATGTGACAATTTCAACCTTCCTGAGCCCAAGGTTGCTGAGGGATTAAAAAGGGGCATTCACAAGTGGCAGAATGAGCAATCCTACATGAATCTGGAGTGCATGCTGACCACCCAGGGCTTCCAGTGCCTCATCCATAAAGGTGGATGTCAATAATATCACACAGCAGGGTGAGGAAGCGTGCCAGGTGCTTGGAGCTGTGCAAGCATGCCAGGTGCTTAGAACTGTGCAAATATGTCAGGTGCTTACAGCTATGCTGGAGACACGGGGAATGCTATGGTACTTGTTGGATATGTGGGAGAGGGAGGGGATGAGAGAGAGGAGTGGGGCTGAAAACTTAAATTCATTATATAAACACATGAAACTGTCAGATAATAATAAAAACGTTTAAGAGAAGCAGCTCCTGAGCAAGTATCCAATAAAAAAACCTAGGAGTCTTGGTATGTGCCTCTCCTCATCATCCTCTCTGCTTCATCCACCTGCATTCGGTATCAGGGGTCCTCCTGCGATTTGCTCTTGGCTTCATAGACCTTAGCGTCTAAGCCAGGAGAAATGGGCTGCACCTGATAAGGTAAGAATGTGGCTGTTCAGTGACAGCTACATGGCATCACCATGAGAGACATATCTGGAAGAGGGGGCAGTTTCCTGTTAGGTTCTGACAGGCAGAGGGAGGGAACATGCAGGCAGTAGGAAGCAGAGCAGGAGATGGATGGCAGCCATGCCTAGTGGTCGGGCAGGGGCAGACATGCAGGGGCATGAGGGCCTGACAGGATTGTACATATTGGCTTGTTGTCTGGCTATGGTGAGCTTCTGAACACCATCCTAGTAGAAGAAGGTCATGATCAAAGTGTTTCAAGGCTGATGTGGTAGAACCTGCCAGTGACCCTCAGTCATGGTGCTGTAATTCTCGAGTGTAAGCACATCTCTTGCGTGATTTATAATACCAAAGATGAAGATGAGAAAGAATTTAATATATTAGAAAAGATACAGTGGACCAATGCAAGGAAAATTCAATAATAAAAAGTTCTAAACATAGACTGGCAACATTTTCAAGCTAAATTGACAAAATAAATATCCAATTATTTTCCTCCCAGAGACAGAGTTTCTCTGTATAGTCCTGGCTGTCCTGGAACTCACTCAGTAAACAAGGCTGGCTTTGGACTCACAGAGATCCTCCTGCCCCTGCCTCCTGAGTGCTGGCATTAAAGGCTTGCATCATCACTGCCTGGACAAATAAGGTCTTTACATAAGACCAAATGCTAAAATGTAAGGGGTGCATGCTAAAAGATGGGTCTCTGACAACCAAATCCTGAATTAGATTTCTGCTTTTGTCTAAAGCAAAAGTTTAACAGAGATACCAGGAGTCCATGTTTGATCCCCTCCAGAGCTGAAGAATGTATAAATATTGGCTATTAGCCAATTTCAGACAAATGCTCTACAAAGAACAAAGGAATCTGTGTTCCCATCTAGCAAATGGCAATTTATATAACACTTTACTTTCCTAGGAAAAGAAACATACATATTCGGTTGGTGGTGACCCTGAGATCAAACACAACGGAGGAGGAAGACTTTCTCCACTCAAATAGGCTGTCCATCAGGTTGCTTCTCAGTTTTAAAGGAAGGATCTGAAACCCCCGTATCTTGTTTTCATTATTAAAAAAAGAAAAATGCTGCAGACTGGGTGCTGAAAGTAGTCCTTGGCTGACTGATGCGTAAGGACCATGACTACACTCCAGGTCCCCTTGTCCCACCATGATTGCTGAGCAATCATAGGACTGATCAGGCAAGGGGTTGTCAATAGCTGGTATCCTAACTCATGTGCCCTGAAAACACAGCCCTTTAGCTCATGGATTCCTGAACTTACATTTAACTTACTTCACATACGACAAAAGCAATGACTTTCTTTTGAGAAGTGGTCAGTTATAGCTGACCACTTTAAGAGCTGACCATATTTAAGAGCTTGAGAAGGTTCAGGAGGCAATGGAAGAAAAATATTTCTGCTAAGTTTAACTAGATTGTAAAAGTGGCCGATGATCCTACTACTAACGGACACTCTCTAGAAGGTATATTCACTGTGGCTTTCACATTCTTTATTTCTTGTTGTATTAAAATACTTTTGATAATTATTAAGCTTGGTATGCCAGGATATACATAAGTGAAATCACTAGCCAACTGGATGAACTTTAAAGATGTGGTTAGTATTAGTTTCCTGATTTGAAAAATACGCCTCAACCTCTCTTATCCCTAAAGGTTTTGCTAGTTGGAGGAAACTGAATTGGCTTTCAAAATAAATTCACATCTTCTCTGGTCAAGGTAGATGGACTCTGCTGTGTAAAATTGGATGCTGTGGGTATGAGGCTGGCCACAACAGCAAAGCCATGCATGTGCACTAAGAATCTGAAAACACACTGGGCCAAGATTCAGCAACACTTGTAGCTATTGAGAGGAAGTCAGTGTTCCCCTGAAAGCTGCTACAAAGATTATTTTATGATCCATAACTGCACACAAATATATCACTGAGATACAAAGCCAGAATTTTGTGGTCGGCAGGGAGGCACTCTGTGTATCATCATTCATTTTGTCATAGAATAAACACTATTCACAAAGTACTCTTCACATAATGACAAACTACAAGCTACCCATAATCCAGAGACTTAAAAGTTGAACAGCAGAAACCGATGCGAGCAGATTCCTCACTTTTCTCCTGGCATGAGTCAACAGTACAGCTTAAAGCCAATAGTTTTCTCCAACTAGAAGCAGCTCAATGTAAATGTGTCAGAAATCAGGAGACTCAGGCTCTCATGTAGGATGCATGACCTTGAGCAAGGTCACATCTGGGCTGTTGTTGTATCTTTCACAACAAGAGTGCTCACACAGTGTTTGCTCATATAATCATGGGACTTGTAGTCACAAAAAAAGTGGGGTGAAGGCCACTCATTAATTTGCAACTTGTACAATTTTTGATTTCCTCAACCCTAAAATGAGGACAATATTATGGGATTGCTGTGAGAATTAACTTCAAATCCATGTAAAATGATGTGTCTTTCTTAGTAAGATACTAGTTCATAGCTATTCAAAATATATTGCATCCACTTGACTTCCAAAAAAAAAAAAAAAAAAAATCCTATCACAGAGTATCATGGGATTAATGGACTCAGCCCTAACATACACAAGATTTTAAAGGAAATTCATGGACAATGTTTACTTTTAGTTTTTTTTTAATAGCTCTATTTCATTATTTGGATGGGACTGATTCTAGGATGCTCCTGATATTTGATGCTAAGACCTCCAAATACATGGATGCTTTAGTCTGAATATAAAGTGATATAGTATTTCTATAACCTATGTACCCCTCCTGTATAGTTTAAATTATCTGAACATTATTTATAATACCAAATGAAACACAGATACCATGCATTGGTTAAGAAAAAATTTTAAAAGTCTATACAAGTTCAGTATAGATGCAAACATCACAAGCTTAACTACAAAAGCACAAGATCTATACTGGTTAAGTCTGTGGGCATGCAAACTACAGATCCCAAGTGTTGACCCTACTGTAGTATTTTGCTCACTCACTGTTGTTTTATGTTTACTAAATTATCATTATGTGATAGCCAGGGAGAAGGAAGTAAGAAGCATGGAAGACTGTTGGCTGCTTGGAACCAGCTGACCATTTCTTAGCTATAAGGGAAGGGTGTAGAGGCAGCTATCCTCTCTCCTCAGCTGGGTGACTATAAAATTTACCATCCTAACTGGGACACTTCTAGAATTTACAATGTACATCCCTTTCAAATTTCAGGCTTACTTTTGTGATTACTGTTGTCGCCTTAAAGTTATGTCTGATGGCCTAATGAGGAACAAATTGCAAAATAAGGTTTCATCCAAACAACCAATTTAAAACTTTGTGTGTTCTTTATAGTCATGCCAAAAGTTATTTCAATTTTGAGACATAATAAATTTAATAATATATCCCAATAGAGCAGTTGTATTTTTATTGCTGGTTTGGTGTGTGTGTATGTATGTATGTATGTAGGATCCAGAAACGTTGTAAAGGGCTGATAGTAAATAGTTTAGCTTTGGGGAGCTACATGGTTTTTGTCACAGCCACATGATTCTGTCCTTTTAGAAAAAAAACCAGTGACAGACAATATGTAAAAAGGATAGGTAGGTCTGTGTTCTGATAAAATTTTGTTTTCCAAACGGCAAGGTTAGGTTTAGCTTGTTGGGCTGGAGTTTGTCATCTCTAGCTTTAAAACTATGGTTCTCAGACTTTTAGAATTCATAAGATCAGGAAAAATATTTTAAAAATCTGAAATTGGCTTATAATTTCTAACTTAGATGAATGGAGTAAGGATATTCTTTAAATAAATACATATGATATTGGAGGGGGCATATTGAGGGGCCTTGGGGAAGCTTGAGGAAAAAGGAGAGTTAGTATGATCATGTTTCATTGTATACATGTATAAAATTCTCAAAACAAAGAAGAAAAACCCTAAAAACTAACTATGAGAATTTTAAATAGTAGAAAGTAGAAAGGGTATAAACCCAGGACAATTTTAACTTTATGGGAAACCTACCACAAAGCCTTTAATTGAAAATGATTTCTTGCTTAGTGACAATTTGTCAGAAATATGCTTAGGTCCATAGACGGATGGTGTGTGTGTGTGTGTGTGGTGCTCTTGGAGAACACTGGGCTATCTCATGGTAGAGAGAGTGTGGTATTTACAACAAAAAAGCCTAAGTTTGAGGAAGACTGGAGAAGAACTAAGAAGGGAGAGATAGGAGAACTTAGGTATGCCTTTAAGCTAGTCTGGAAAAGTGTCCTTGTGTCTTGAATCACTGCCACCAACAAAAATTGCATTTGGAAGTAACTTCAGGACTCACCATCTGCCATGGTGCAGGGTACCAGGCTGGGGGACAATTGAAGCGGTTGCAGGCTTGTACTGTGTTTGGTTTGGGGTGATGACACAGCTCATCAGCCAGGATCACCACCTCGTTCATCTCTCTGGAAAGTAGGTGGGAGCAGACAACATCCCTGGTCTGCAGGCCAACCCCACAGGTGAGGCTACATGGGCTCCACTTGCCAATTTCCCACCTGAGAAGAAAGAAGATAGGAAAAATCCCAATTGAGTTTCTGTACAAACACTTCACAGGCAATTGAAACCCCTCACGGGGAGTGGGGAAGGTTCTCCAAGACATTTGGCTAGGGACTGGGCCCTCTGCTCCAAACCCAATCATTCTCTTTGTGCTTAGAGCTCATTTAGAATAAAACAAAGAAGCCCATTGAACAGCCAATGTTTATTTACAAAAATCATCAGTAAAGGTGGTAATGGTGCCTATTTTGACAGAACCTACAAACCTCATCAAAACAGGTAGGGGGGATCTAGATGAGGGGTAAGTTGTACATAAAAGATTTAGGAATCATACTTTCAATAGCGGCTAGAAAGGATAGAAAACACTTCCCTGCTTATTTCTCTAGCCTTCATTATGCACGAGGTGGAAGCATTTGTGCTTCTTATTCTTTGGCTTCAAAGTGAAAGGTCATTGGCTCCAACTTCCTTTAAACTTCCATTTTAGCACAGAAAAGTCTCTGTCTTATGTATAAATATCATCACTGCCTGGGGCTGGATAATGTAACAGAAGCAGAGGCTGCAAAACAGATCAGTCTTTTTGAAGAGAAGTAAGGAGTGAGTGGCTCATTATCTGGACAGAGAAGTCAAACACACTGATGAGCTGAGTGCTTGAATGGCTGCTTCCAAATGGCCATGCCTTGAGAAGTACATTTATGGTGAGCTAAGGACCTATAAAACCAACCCCATTGTGCTTCCCTGCCGATTGGTCCTCCAAAACTTCCAACAATAAGGACAAAGTTCAGTTGCTTGGACTCTGACTCAGAAGTGTTTTCTAATGGTCTATTTTAGGTCTTCTGCTCACAGTTGGAAACACACAGGTTCTATAAAAGGCCAGCCATGGACAGCACAATGGGACATCCTTCAGTACCTAGTGAGCTCAGAAAATTGTTTCAAAAATCTTTAGCCTTAACAATTTTCATCAGATTGTAACACTAAGTAGAAACTCTCAATTTTTCTTGCTTCTCTAACCTCCCACCCACTTCCCATTCTCCCTTTATCAACACTGTGATGAACAATAACTACAATCAACTCCTTTGCTATTTCCATTTCTCCTCCATGGCCCTCTAGTACCATCTTTTTTGGAAACTGCACCTGGGTCCTGGAATAGCTTTTGTATTTCTTCCTGTTTCAGAATGTCTTTTATTTCCATATATGTGCATTTATATCTGCTCCAGGCATGGGTCATTTTTCTCAGCTGGATCGTAGATTTTCTGCCTTTCAAGGGCTCTGTTACAGTGTCTATCACCTCAGGTAGAGTCCGTGTTGGAGTGTGGTTTATACCACTCACAAAATCCACTGGAGCTCCATCTACGTGGTTCATGGAGAAGGCTAATAAATTCCTGATACGTTGGCAGTAGGAAGGAATCTACCATTATAGATGGCATATAATATTATATCTAGTTACCCCCTTAAAGATAGTTTTCATTGATCCCCATAATTTTATAGTTGAAGGAATTTGAGAACTGACATGGCTGAAGTACTCAGGTACTCATAATTAAGTAGTGAATCCAGGATTCAAACCCACTTGGCTATACCTGACATCAAAGCCTTTGTGTCCCCTATTTGTATAATGGTGTCACCAGGAAATATCTCAAAAATCTCCTATAGGCATTCATCAAATTTTAAATGGATAGAAGGGGCAGGCTGAACACATTTCTTGATGAATTCTTGTTTTAGTGTGTAGACATCAAGTCCAAGCTTTAAAATATGTGGGTTTGAGATAAGTGTGTATATCCTTTACCACTTTTTCTTCCAAGGTGGGTTCTTGAGTGAGGGTTGGACTTAGAGGCTTGCTTCCCATGAGTGGAATGAGGCAGAAGTGAGACTGTGTGACTTTATGGGCTAGATCATCCAGGATATACTTTCTGCTTCTGCCCTGTCTGATGGCTTTCTTGTGGTGAGTGAGGTAGGATGCCACCATGCCATGAGCACAGTCTTGGGGAGAGATCCTGCAGTCGAAGAACCACAGCATCCTGCCACAACTAGCCCCCACTTGTCACTCATCTACAAGAACTGACCCAGACCCAGGCCAGCTTCAGATGACCTCAACCTCACAGGGGCTGAGCCAGGTCCACCTCTTCAGGCTGCTTCCAAATTCCTTACTCATAAGCAATAAGAGATGACAAATATTTAGTCTTGTAATCTTCTAGGTTGGGAGTGGGGAGGTGTACGCTGTTAAACAGCAAAAGATAATTATATACAAGTATCTATCCCTCCCCAATATACACGTATTCATCCAGAGAACATTCGTAGAAGTGCCATGCATAGTAGCCCAGACTGGGGAACACGTAAATGTTTATCAGATAGGTGAATAAATAAATCGTTGTAAAACAATGGCAATGAACTCTAGCCACAACATCACTGAGCCCCATAAACATGAAATGGAGGGAGTGAGGTCACAAGCCCAAAGCGTCATACTGTTTCATTTACACAAGCTCGAACCTCAAAGACTGCGCTATTACAAGTTAGGAAGGTAATTACTGTTGGTGGGTGGGAACCAGAGAGGAGTGTGTGGGCCCTCTGGATAGTGTTGCCATCTTAGTGCTGGAGCTGGCGCCACCTTCTGCAAAGGTTCACTGGATCAAGCTGCACACTTGGGATTTTGTGCAATTTTCCTGTGTATGTTCAGAAAAGGTGTCCCCCATCTCATCTTCAAGTGAGACACATAAGTATGGTCACAAAGCAAAACCCACTCTCCATATGTCTCATAAAGGAGTTGCCTCCATAGTCAGTGCTGTCCCAAGGTAAAAGCTTGTCAGGCCCAGGGCTTTGTACCCTCATTCCCTGCTCTTGCTTCACTCCTGGCAGAAACTCAGCAACTAGGTCCTTGAAGCAGAGGCATTTTGGCAGCTTTGAGGCCAGCTGAACACTGTCGGAGAAACTCTGCCTGCCCTAATAAAGTACATTATACATTCTCCAGGAAGGAGGTCAGCAGACGCTATCTGTGTAGTAAGCACTTGGCTGATTCTGGGTCAAAAATATTTTAATCAGCTTTGGCAAAAAAAAAAAAAAAAAAAAAAAAGGAAGGAAGCATAGACTCGTCCCTGTTTCTCTTCTACACAGAGCTGTAATTGTGGGCTGCAGATTTGGCAGGCTGCTGATAACCCCTGAGCCTTATGCCTTTGACCATTTCCCAGAGAGGGGCTCTTCTAGTGGAAGCCAGCTGGGGGCAAGATTAGCTATGGATGACCATGTGGGGGACACTGCTAGGCCTCCCTTGGGGTGTTGGGTCCAGACTGGCATAAGCCTAGTACTGAGGAGGTCAGAGCTGTACCCTGGACATGACCCTCTTGTACCCCTTTCTTGGGTGAATTTGCTCATCTGTTCATCTCCATCTACAGTGTTATTTCTTCCACTGAGTAAATTCTCCACCCATATAGTCTCTTAAAACTTTTTTCTCTGGAGAGTCAACTACTTACAATATTATCACTAACTCAACCCAACTGTTGTCTTGAATAGAGCCTGTGGCTGTATCTAATTTGTTTCGCCAGTTGTTCTACATGGAATTACATCTCCCCAACAGATATATTGGGGTTCTAACCCCATAGTAGGTCTGAGTATGACATTCTCTGGGAAAGACTCATTGCAGATGTAATTACTTCAGATGGCTCAGAGAAGATGAAGTAGTTTCTTCTCTCACTGACATGACTGAATACCTGAATACATGACTGAATAGGAGCAAGTTAAGGGAGGGCAGGCTTATTTTGGCTTACTGTTCATGGGATACAGTTCATTTGGGTGGGGAAGACAAGCTGGAGTTCACAACACTGTGAGCTCTCAGCTGGGGGTGTCCTTTAGCTGCAGGTTTGAGGTATAGAGCTGAGACCAGACTGAGGCTGGACTATAATCCTCAAGGCACAGCTCTAGAGGCCTTATGTCTGAAAGGTTCTGTAACACCATTCAGTGGAGACTGCATGAGCCTGTGGGGAACATTCCACAGTTAACATGGGTGTGCAGCAGTTTGCTTCAGGTTAAAACCTGCTTTCTCAGAGGGAATGTTGGGAAGGGGGTGAAACAGCAGAATTTTAAGACAGGATGTTTACGGAGAGGTGAAAAACTCCATCTGCTGCAGGCAAGCTCCTTAAGACAGGAAGTAAACAACTCAAAACAGCTCCTGAAAGTCTTGGAAGCAGACAGGCTTCACTCTGCTCCTCCCTCCACAAGCATATATAAGCACTAAGAACTGCTAAGAGGTACTCTCAGACAAGCCAAGTTGCAAAGAAGACTCTCAGGCAAACCCAGATGCCAGGGAGAGAAGCAGAGACCAGCTAAACTGCTGTGTGGAAGAGGCTCAGACCAACTGAACCATACGGAAAGGCCATTCTCCAAGTTTTTTAACTGCCTACAGGCAGCACAGTGTGCTCCAGGTTTCTAACTTTTGCATGATGTCACCCATGCTGGGGTGGGCTTTGGGATGCAGCTATCTGAGTCATTTCTGCTCCTGTAAATATAACCTGTCACTCATATTTCTATAAATAACCCAAGTAAAACTCATTGACTCACTAAATTGGACTTTGATGGTGTCTGTGTTTTGGTCTGTCATCTGTTCCCTATCTGGGGTGCGTAGATGTCTGGTTACATCTCTTCAGGAAGAGTGTCTCACAACAAAGCCATTGAGCTAGAGTAGGGTGCACACTTACCCAATGTTGTTGGGTTCTATTAAGAGTGGAACCCATGACAGAATTCCATGTGATGGCAGAGGCAGAGAAGGGAATTAGGAAGCTGCAAGCAAACAGTGCCAGAAATTGCTAGCAAGGAGCTAGATGAGGTGAGAGAATCCGGACCTTCATTTACATTTGAGCTTAGCTTACAAAGGGAGGCAATACATTGCTGCTTTAAGCCTCTTTGTTGTACTTTGTTACCACAGTTCTAGGAAAACAAATCCTTGTGCCTGGAACACTGCAGGTGACCAGGAAGTGTGTGGTGACTACCACTAAGCTGCGTGGCCAGTGGGCTGGACACA